CACTGTGTTGATTGATTCTTCACATTGGCAGATGTTTGATCACCTTTTACGCATTTGCTTCGGCATCGGCCTAGCGCAAAAAGATTTCACTTTATTTTTCGGAATCCACAAGGGCTAGGTCCAACAGGAAAACAAACCTAGTGACTAAAGGCAGCTCCCATTTTTCGGAGGACATTAACTTGTGTCGGAGTGCGAAAAAGTGCTCGCTTTGGCTGATGTTCAGTCGATATATATTATTTTGAATATCAAATCTTTAAGGTCGGCCCAAATCTTCATTTTTTCCTCCGTTTCTAATCTTCTTCTTTTTAAACGTGAATGAGATTACTTGATTGATTTTGCATTTTTAAGACGCTTTTCTGCTTGCGTTGCAAGGATTTGTACATCCTGAACTGGCACTGCGTCCGGCCAGCTGACGCAGATTAAACCATAAAATTGGAGGATGTAACTGATAAGGACGATCTAACTTGCTATAGCTGACACTGTATTCATTCTCGCAATCCGATCACGCCTTAACTGTTTGCAAACATGTCCACTGTACGCAGGTGATTTACAAAGTAATGGTGAGTGAATAGAATCGGCGTCTCGCAATTTGTCTAAAGTGGATAGAGAGTGTTTGCGGTGTGATGACGTCAGCCTCAACTTTCATGCCTGCAGATCCAAATATTTAGTTGATTTAACTGAGTAGATAAAGGCATGGATGATAAAAGTTGAATGAAACTATTCAACATCACATCATACTTTCAAAAAGCCGCTTTTTTCTACAAACTTCCGTTTGCTTGCTACTCTACACCGAACAGTCTGACATTGCGACATGTACGGTCCACTTTACATCACCAAACGTTCGCTAAGTATCACCAAGGCAACTTGGTTCGGTCAATTTTCAACCGATCAAATTTGGACTATATAGGTGTTCTTGTAGCCAGTTTTTATCCAGATCGCTGAGTGAATGTCTGGAGATATACGCACCTAGATAAGCTGGAGAAAAGTCCCTCCCACGTCCAACATTACCCTTTTCTTTACAATAAGGCTTTCAAACAAATCATGGTTTCGAACACTGATATCATGCTATCGATGGTGGTGCTCAGGTGGGAATATAGGAATCTCAAAGTTAAACGAGATTGCCCGTGGATTACACTTGAACGAATGGTCCTTGATCTTGAAATTTAAACCAAGGCAGTTTGAGCAAATGAGGATACAATTGATTACCTCAACACCTCGCCCATTTCTAAATATAACTGCCAACTGACCCTAGGCGAAGAGTGTTTCTTGACAGAACTATTTCTTCATTCAGGCTTGCAACCAAGGCTGATTAGGGTAAGACGTTTTTCTGTGAATTGACGACTGTGATTGAACAGAATCCAAGTAGTCAGTTGCTTGACGAGTTGACGTTCGAAAATTTCGGAAGCCACTGTATCACAAAGCTTTGTTTTATGCAGCGGCACAGAACTTCGTACAAAGTAAGTCGAAACCTGCGAATAAATTGTTTGATAATTCTGCACTCCGCTGGGTTTTTCGTGATAATTCGAACACAAACCCTCAGTTCTGT